CGGTGTATGGGATCCCAGGGTGTAGTCTCCCGGTGTATGGGATCCCAGGGTGTAGTCTCCCGGTGTATGGGATCCCAGGGTGTAGTCTCCCGGTGTATGGGATCCCAGGGTGTAGTCTCCCGGTGTATGGGATCCCAGGGTGTAGTCTCCCGGTGTATGGGATCCCAGGGTGTAGTCTTCCGGTGTATGGGATCCCAGGGTGTAGTCTCCCGGTGTATGGGATCCCAGGGTGTAGTCTTCCGGTGTATGGGATCCCAGGGTGTAGTCTCCCGGTGTATGGGATCCCAGGGTGTAGTCTCCCGGTGTATGGGATCCCAGGGTGTAGTCTCCCGGTGTATGGGATCCCAGGGTGTAGTCTCCCGGTGTATGGGATCCCAGGGTGTAGTCTCCCGGTGTATGGGATCCCAGGGTGTAGTCTCCCGGTGTATGGGATCCCAGGGTGTAGTCTTCCTGTGTATGGGATCCCAGGGTGTAGTCTCCCGGTGTATGGGATCCCAGGGTGTAGTCTTCCGGTGTATGGGATCCCAGGGTGTAGTCTCCCGGTGTATGGGATCCCAGGGTGTAGTCTTCCTGTGTATGGGATCCCAGGGTGTAGTCTTCCTGTGTATGGGATCCCAGGGTGTAGTCTTCCTGTGTATGGGATCCCAGGGTGTAGTCTTCCTGTGTATGGGATCCCAGGGTGTAGTCTCCCGGTGTATGGGATCCCAGGGTGTAGTCTCCCGGTGTATGGGATCCCAGGGTGTAGTCTCCCGGTGTATGGGATCCCAGGGTGTAGTCTCCCGGTGTATGGGATCTCAAGGTGTAGTCTCCCGGTGTATGGGATCCCAGGGTGTAGTCTGTGTATAAGCAGTATATCAGGTATATCGCCAGAAGTACGTTTTCAGCCAAAGTATAACTCATAAGTGATTTCAATAATTTTAACAGGATAATATGCGCGACTTTAGGCCCATGGAGGGATCCCTGACGACCCTGGCCCATGGCCGGGCTCCGTGAGTAGAAAGACTCAAAACTCAAGGGTAAACATCCTGTATGCGGTGCCAGCAGTGAACCCGCATTTGGAGTATATAAACTACAAAGGTTCTTAACGACGTTGGTACCGGCTAAGAGGTACCAACGTCGGACATATTTAATAAACTCAAGCTAACGACTCTAAAACAGAGAACTAAACGAGAGCGTGATAACGTGGTACACAATAATAAGGGGACATTGTAAGACTGAGTACTAGGATATACCTTTTATTCGGTCTCAGGGCTGTAAGTAGAAGTGGCGGGGGCACACAGTTTCAAGAGTAGGTACGGTCGGATTCTGGAGGCTAAGAATGATCAAAACTAGCGAATAGCCTTGAATGGACAACTACAAGCAGTAAGCAAGTACAAATAGGTGAGTATAGAACTCGCCCAATCATCCAGACTTCACCTACAGTCACAAAAATGCAAATTTAAAAATTGTGTGCAAAATTAATAACTGGTAAAGCGAACCAGTGGAAGTGTAATTATCTTATGACCGCATCTATCATCCTCTACTGTGTCTCCTTCCCTCTCCTCCCCTCCTTTTGCTGTCTCCTTACCTCTCCCTTCTCTGTTGTGTGTCTGCTGTCTCCCCGTGTGTTGTCTTCGCCTCTGCTGTCAAAAGCAATGTTCCCAGGTGCTGTTCTGCTGTCTTCCCCTCTGCATTGAGAAGCAGGGATGGCTGAAGCCAGGTCATCACAAGTCAGCGTCAGATCAGCCTCAGGTACTGGTTCAATTAACACTGCTAAACGACAGATAAATTCTAGATCAACATACGTTAAACACCTTTATAACATTAGGTTAACGTCTGGTCAACGCCAGTATACGTAAACGCCAGGAAAACGTCAAGTAACCGCAGATTAGCTTCGGGTAAACATGAAAGAGGAGAGTATTTCTTGTACGTAATAGCATGTTCCTGATATGTAACAGTTGATGTGGCGAGGACACAAATAGTCACTCGTCACCACAGCCTGAGGCAGTCTCTCCACCACAGCCTGAGGCAGTCTCTCCACCACAGCCTGAGGCAGTCTCTCCACCACAGCCTGAGGCAGCTCTCCACCACAGCCTGAGGCAGTCTCTCCACCACAGCCTGAGGCAGTCTCTCCACCACAGCCTGAGGCAGTCTCTCCACCACAGCCTGAGGCAGTCTTCCCACCACAGCCTGAGGCAGTCTTCCCACCACAGCCTGAGGCAGTCTCTCCACCACAGCCTGAGGCAGTCTCTCCACCACAGCCTGAGGCAGTCTCTCCACCACAGCCTGAGGCAGTCTCTCCACCACAGCCTGAGGCAGTCTCTCCACCCAGCTGAGGCAGTCTCTCCACCACAGCCTGAGGCAGTCTCTCCACCACAGCCTGAGGCAGTCTCTCCACCACAGCCTGAGGCAGTCTCTCCACCACAGCCTGAGGCAGTCTCTCCACCACAGCCTGAGGCAGTCTCTCCACCACAGCCTGAGCAGTCTCTCCACCACAGCCTGAGGCAGTCTCTCCACCACAGCCTGAGCAGTCTCTCCACCACAGCTGAGGCAGTCTCTCCACCACAGCCTGAGGCAGTCTCTCCACCACAGCCTGAGGCAGTCTCTCCCCACAGCCTGAGGCAGCTCTCTCCACCACAGCCTGAGGCAGTCTCTCCACCACAGCCTGAGGCAGTCTCTCCACCACAGCCTGAGGCAGAGCCTCCACCACAGCCTGAGGCAGAGCCTCCACCACAGCCTGAGAGAGGATGGGAGCCCGGTTTACAGATATTTACATATCACTTTGGACAAGATTAATGGGGAGAAGGAGTGGTCGGTCTCAGCTCTTCGGTACTTACCGCAGTGTTTCAGTCTAAGATGGACCCTAAGTCCCGACCAGATCACCAGCTCTTGCACAGGCCACCGTTGGTTGTGGGGGAAAGATACTGTATTTTCTGTGTTGCGGGATGGCATAAGGATGCCACATTAGAAATGGCACCCGAGAAATACCTCTCGATAGAATTTATCACCGTGGCAGATCGCAGGATGCAAGTGCCGGAGAAGAGTTGTTACAGCGTCAGACTGAAGGATGTCAAAGTATTAGACTAAAGGCTGCTACACTTTCACAAGGAGTTGCCATAGTGCCATATGTCGCAGTTTATAGTCAAAAAGCGACCCGTTTCAAGAGCTTTCCTACACCCGTAGCCTGGCTTTAAGCCAAGCATGTCTGGTTCTTCCTTGCTTTCTTGCCTAGGAGAAAAATAGCCTCTCTAAAATCTGTTCCTTTCTTGCTTCCTGCGAGTTTTTAAAACTTGTACCGTTACTTGGGAACATTACGTTGCACTAGATATAAATACAAACATTATTCAGCATGCGCAACGAGCGTGTGGAGTGGGCGTCGCCGCGCACTGTGCTGGCGATGCAAGTTTTATGGGGTTCGGGTTAATGTGATGAGTGAAGAATACTTCCCCGGGAGTGGGACACAAGGATTCTCAGACGGAGCTTGTACTGTGCCTGATTCATGACCTCCCCAAGCCACCTGTGTGTGTGCATCATTAATTCAGAATGTAGTAATTAAATGTTGGTGGTGGTAGTGGGCGTGTGTGGGCGGGGATGGGCGGAGGAGTGCGTCATGACCTCCCTCATGTTTCTCGCTACCCCTACCAACCCACTCCGCCCATTCCCCAATGCCGCTGCTCACCCATCTGTTTGTTGACTCCTGCTAGAGTTTGTGTGCACATGCTAAGGGGTTGTTTGTACAAGTTAGAGAGGTGTTATTAGTGTTTGTTTATGTAGATTGGAATCATATGCAGTGTGTTCTCGCCAGTTCAGCTGTGTGAGTACATGTTAGTGATGTAACCGAGGACTGTTTACATTACTGGACGCTCGCTCGCCGCTGTTTATATCCGTTGATGCCTGTATTGATAACGCAAGAAGCGTCATAATACACCACGCCCATACGAGACAATTTGTTTTATTCGAAATATGTTAGTTTCTTTAGACTGTTGAGAATATTGATAGTTTTGTTCCTAAGCATCTGCTAGGGGAATACTGCTGTATGCTAGCGGGAGAAGTTGCAGAACTAGGAAAGTGGAAAGATTTTTCTCTGCTCGCATAAACTCAGATACCTCAACTATTAAACCATACCATGGGCGGGGTTAGAACCCGCGATCAGTCATAAAACTCTGAGCACGGGTTCTAACCTCGCCCGTGGTATGGTATTACCTGGAGAGAGTTCCGGGGGTCAACGCCCCCGCGGCCCGGTCTGTGACCAGGCCTCCTGGTGGATCAGAGCCTGATCAACCAGGCTGTTACTGCTGGCTGCACGCAAACCAACGTACGAGCCACAGCCCGGCTGTCAGGTACCGACTTTAGGTGCTTGTCCAGTGCCAGCTTGAAGACTGCCAGGGGTCTATTGGTTTGCAATCGTATCATTACGATTTCGTGAGTCGTCTCGCCTACTGGAAACGTTCAAGTTCCTCAAGCTGTATTCTTTGGAACGTAAGCAGGACACCATAATTTACATCTAGAAATTGCTGGAGAGACTGGTTCTAAATCTGCATACATAAATCGCTCCATATGAAAGCAAAAAGCTGGGTAGATATGAAGAGCATTTGTGAAGTGTAAGGGGACCAATATTTCAGTACATTCCCTTTGTGCATTAGGGAAATTGCAAACCCCTAGATGGGCTATGAAGCATACGATTGATCGTGTGCGGTCGGCACCAATAACCTTGACGATCAGGACAACTTGGTCTGGTTGGGACCGGACCTCGGAGTAGTGACGCCTAAATGAGCGCCAGGTAGGGAATGCTAGTTTCTCGATTTCTACCGACAAAGTAATGCTGAAGGTATTGTTTTTTCTGCGATAATATATATCCAAATGTACTTCCGTTTTAACCTTTTTAGGGCCAAGCTTTTGTGACTTTTGTGTATCCAATATGCTATTGCGCTACCGTCCACAAGATGGATACGAGGTGCACAACCTAACAGTTAAGACGGCAAACTTCAATCTTTGCTGACTAATTCTGTTTCGTCCCTCAGGTCGTGGTGGGTCTCCGCCAGGGTCACAAGAGGCACTGCTGGAAGCCACGAGACTCACCATGTGGAAGCTCTACAACCAGGGTCTTGGAGGTGGAGGCTTCCCCCACGAGGACGAGGGTCCCAAGCTGCCGCCTCCTCCTCCACATCACCCTATGGGCGGCGGCGTGCCGTTCCCTCCACAGAAAGAAGCACTCAATCTGGACGTTAAAGAAGATGTGAGTACTAGTGTGGTGGAAATGACTTAGAAAACCGACAAGTTGAGGAATGAGGCACTTGTGCAACATTTAGGAATCTTTATTAAGGAAATGTTTCGCCAGCCAGTGGCTTCTTCAGTTCAATACAGAGAAGACAATATAATGAGGAGTCTGAGGTGATCAGTCCCTCAGCCTGGAGTCGATGAGGGACTGATTACCTCAAACTACTAATCATCTTCCTTCTCTGTACTGGACTGAAGAAGACACTGGCTGGCGAACGTTTCCTCAATAAGGATTCCCAAACGTCCCATGAGTACTAGTGTGGTTGAACCAAGCTTCCAGGCTGGTGCCGCTGACCTGTGTGCTGTTACCTTCCAAAGTATCTGAAATACAGAGAAAATTCACCCTCATACTTTTCACTAAGAAACTTCAGAGCCTCTATTATTATGTCTTGTGCTAATAGCTATTTTTTTTACACTTTTGTGTTCTAAATGAATTAAGAGTGACGTCAGTTCCCCTGTTTTCTAATATGTTATATTTCCACTATAATTTACCTTGTTCATAATTATTTTCTTAAGTTATAGTATAATTTAAGAAAATAATTATGAACAAGGTAGATTATAGTGGAAATATAAACATGGTATTAAGAGACGGGGAAACTCAGGTGCGTCTTAAAGTACACGAGTTGTTACGTCAGCCAAGATACTGAACCCCATGAAATTAAGTGAAAAAAGGGACAGCATACAGCAGTAGATTCCTTACCACAGAAACTAACCATATGACAAAAAATGACAATCTTGAAAGTCATGATACTCCAGTAACTTCACTTCACCATTTTTAGTTTGGTCAATAACAAAGATAAAAATTTCACGAAAGAATTTGTTGTATATTGCTTATTGTTGCAGTCAGAGCTATGTATATTGCTTAGAATACATTATGTAGTGAGGAGAGTTGAATGGTAATAAGGTGCTAGTATCCTCCCTGAGGACTGTCATGAGTATGTAGTGAGGAGAGTTGAATGGTAATAAGGTGCTAGTATCCTCCCTGAGCTTGTCTGAGGACTGTCATGAGTATGTAGTGAGGAGCAGTGCGTGGTATTAGTGTTTGTATCCTGCCTAAGCTTGTGTCTTATCACGTAGGAAGCGCCGCTGTTTCTTGATAACCGGGGCTATCAAGCATTCTGCTTGCAGCGGCCGGGGCGAGTAAAGGAGAGTGCAGATCTTCGCAATGATATGCGTAATGACCTGCGCAACGACCTACGTAACGACATGCGCAACGATTTGCGTAATGACATACGCAGCCGCCTGGAGGAGAGTCCGGTACCACCCGCGGCTAAGCGACCAGCCCAGCATGAGGATGCCCACGACCCACGCCTGCCCCCGCCCACCACGCCCGCGCCCCCAGGACAACCCGGTGCCAATATAAAGATCACATCAAGGGGTGAGTACAAACTTTAACACTGTCGTCTGTCCCAGTAATTTAAAATATAATTAATAATAAAGTGATTGAAATAAATGCATTTAAGACTCTTCTACTAAAAATATTTCAGTTATTTGACCTTAATCACTTTAGATACTGGCAGTAGTAGGTGAAAGATTCCGTTAGTGGAGAAGAGTTTATCTTAAAGCTGTCCCCTGGAAATGTATTGTAATATATGGGCTAATTTTGTGGAAACAATCGGTTTATTGAACGATAATGCTGGAGCTGATGAGTGAAACTGGAGGACCAGTTTATTGTCTTAAATCTGGTGTCCAATAGATCTGTTTAGCATCTTGCCATTGCACGAGATGTTCCTCCTGGTGTTTGTATGACAGGCGGTGCTGTCATCCTAGCTGCTGGAGATGTTCCTCCTGGTGTTTGTATGACAGGCGTGCTGTCACCTAGCTGCTGGAGATGTTCCTCTTGGTGTTTGTATGACAGGCGGTGCTGTCACCCTAGCTGCTGGAGATGTTCCTCTTGGTGTTTGTATGACAGGCGGTGCTGTCACCCTAGCTGCTGGAGATGTTCCTCTTGGTGTTTGTATGACAGGCAGTGCTGTCACCCTAGCTGCTGGAGATGTTCCTCTTGGTGTTTGTATGACAGGCGGTGCTGTCACCCTAGCTGCTGGAGATGTTCCTGATGCCACCCTAGTTACTGGCGGTATGTTCACAAATCATAATGGACAAGTCTCTCCAGACAGGGAATAATGTATTTAAGATTATTATGGGGAATGCTAAACCCGTGTATTTCCTTAGAGGAAACATAAAATGGAACTATTGCGTTCTTGAAAATAAGAATGTGCATAAATTTATGCACAATCTACCGTCAAAGATAACCCCCAAAAAAATTAGTGTTACGTTGTAGTGATGTAGCAAGACAAACTCTTGCCAGAAGTAACCTCCAAGTGCCCATTTAATGTTCCCGCTAAGGAGATGTGAGTATACACTTAACTATTGGCAGTGTGACAGGTTTTATGTGGTGGAACCGGGAGAAATTTATTCATGAGAATTTATAAACATAAACACCTGCAACAGGGATGACACCAGCAATGCCAAGATGGATGCTAAACTGATCTATTGGGAATGAATGTTAGAGACGACGATGTCTTGAAGCTTCACTTATGGCTGTCTCCAGCACCTTCGTTCAAAAAAGCCAACAGTTATATTTCCACCATACTAGCCATATATTACATCATACTTCTACGAGGCTGCCAAGTGATTATCATGAGATATACTCCTCTCCACTTCCGGCGTCTTTCGCTTACTACTATCAGTTACTATTAATAATACCATCACTATTACAATTACTCTCTCCTGCATCTGTGTATATACAGTCTGTCTCCTCTCATACTCGTGTGTTTGAGGTGATCAAGGTTCAAGGACTGAAATGTTTTTATTAAAGGTGTCCAAAGTAATTTCATTCGTGTTACTTTCCCTCTGGTGCAAAATTGGTGCTTTTTATCAGTTACTACGCAACTTATGAAGATGGACATAACAGGTTTTTAACCTTGCTTCTGAACATTGTCAAGAGAACAAAGTTGCCTTCTGGTAGAGAAAGGGAAGTCAGAAGTGGCCGTGTCACAGCAGGTTCCGTTTTGATCTCGGGCATTTTCTTCCTTTTCTTATTTTGTGTATGTTGCTAACCTGCTGCCTTTGTGTTGCAGGAGATGGACGGAGCCAGGACCAGAGTCTGGTGGTTAGTATGGAGATCAATGGCATCTTGTATCAAGGAGTGTTGTTCGCCCAGGCACCCAGAGCACGCTTCAGCTAAGGTGCTGCTACTGCTGCCTTCTCGTTTCCCCTCACCCCGCCATCTTGGAGGAGTCAGCTTCACTCTAAGGGGCTGTGAGTGGTACAGGGCCGTCCCCTGTCCCTCTGAGGAGCTACTCACCCCCTAGGAGGCTGCGGGCGGTGAAGGAGCATCACGGAACGAGTGTTCGACTGTGGAAGCTCCTGCTCTTTCTCTCTCCACCTTTAGCCAAGCTCTGTTGGCCAAGTGCCCTGACATTTGGCTCTCGGCTGTTACCTTGTAATAAAGTCAATGTAGTGCTTGAAGATGCTGAACCCTGAATCAGGGTTATTTGTATTTATTTGTGTAATTATCTTGTTGTGTGTGATAGGTGTACAGTCATGTTCCGTGTGAGAGCAAGTGGCATATTCTTGTTTCTAAGTTGTCCGGTCAGTGTAGCCTAAGGCAACAAAGTGGTGATCTCATGAATGTAATACTCAAGCAGTGCAGTCGTGGTGGGCACACACATGTGGCCATGGTAGGCCATCATGTGGCCATGGCAAGCTGCTGCTGGTGCGATCTGAGCTACGCCTCCAACACTTCGTGGCGTCCTTTACACGAAGAAACTGGAGGACTCTTGCTCCGCCCATCACTGTGGCCTCTTCCTCGGCGGACAAAATGGGACCGCCTCTCCACGACTTGAGCAGACGATACCCACCCGCCCATCCAGCCACTCAACCACCCACCTTTCCGCCATGACCGCCCACTCGGTGCAGACAATCAGCCGCCCACGAGGCAGCGACCTCTGCTGTCCCTCTTGTTAAGTTGTTGATTGTTTTTGTTTGTGTTGTTTTTAGGTTGACCGCTGTTGACTAGTGAGATTACAAGTGTTGGGACTAAGTAAAAGGTTCAAGGTTCCTAGTGTCCTGCCATATTGACTGAACCACATCAGCAGATATCCTGCCGAGGGACTTGCCGCATGTGGCAGGCTATATCTACCGGTCTGCCATACACTTATTTATGCATTAAACGTTTTGTTAATGAAAAACAGTGTAACTAGTTCGTGAAGTGTGCAATATCACATTGATATTAAAGATCTCAAAATTCTATAATGTTCAGCGAATGTTCTTTGTACCTGAATTGTTTGACAAACAAAATTCCAGGTTTGTTGAGTTTAATGTTACTTAGTGTGGCTACAAAGAACCTGACTTCATATGCTATTTTGTTCACCTCCCAATTATTATTATAATCAAAAAGAAGCGCTAAGCCACAAGGGCTATACAGCATTCCCCTCCCAAACCCTAGTTTTCATGTCTTTAGGGAATATAATATTTTCACAAAAAAGTGTTTATGGTCAGTTGTGTGATGCGGGGCTGGTCACGTGAAAGGGTGTCATGACAGGTGTCCCAAACGTGAGTCCCCGGGCCCTGGTGCGGGCCCCCTGATGCAGGTGTAGATGTGGCGCGTTCTACTCAGGGTCCTAAATCTGGCCGTGGCCCCGCCGGCCTCCCGGGGGACAGCGAGGCGGAGCCGCGCACCCGGTGACAGACCACCCCGCCGAAAGCCGTTGTGTTCCCCGCGGCTGCGGCGGGTTTTTTATTAGGGCGGGCAGGCGGGCAGTCCCTGGCCGGTCCTGAGAGAAGCCGGGGGCGTCCCCCCCCAAAACCCTGTTAACCCACACCTCTAAAATCTCACTGTCACGCTGGGCAGCCGCGGTGTCACGTTTCGGGCACCCGCGGTGTAGCTGGGCAGAGATTTGTTTTTTTGTTTTTAACTATAATTTCACTAGGTTAAGGTTATGAAAATTATCGATGTTACAGTGTACAGCTCTACAGGGAGTACTGTGTACAGATCCTGTTCTCTCCCTTTCCCCCGACGTACCCCCAACACATACTGCCAGCTGCACAGGTGGCGTCCCCCCACACAGCCACCTGCACAGGTGGCGTCCCCCCACAGCCCCTGCAAGGGGCGTCCCACCCCCATGTTGCATCCCCCCACACACCCACCTGACCCCAAAGGTGGCTCCCCTACCGACACAGGGGTGTACCTATGACAAAGGTGGTGTCCACCTACCTGCACGGTGGCGCCATACCTGACACGGTTGCATCCCCCAACAGCCACCCGACAAGGTTGCATCCCCCACCCCCCTGCAAGGTGGGTCCACCTACCGACACAGGTGGGGTCCCCCCTGAACAGGTGGGGGTCACCTACCCGACCACAGGTGGGTCCACCTACCCGACACAGGGGGCGACCTACCTGACACAGGTGGCTTCCACCCCTTTCCGACAAAGGTGGCGTCCACCTACCCGACACAGGTGGCGTCCACTACCTGAACAGGTGGGTCACCTACCTGACAAGGTTGATCCCCCAACAGCCACCTGACACAGGTTGATCCCCCCACAGCCACCCGACACAGGTTGCTCCCCCCCCAGCACCTGCACGGCAGTGTCACCCACACAGCCACCTGACACAGGTGGTGTCACCACCCCCGCCTCGCATGGGTTAACGGTAAGTTTTATGTAAGTAGTGCGGCAGAGTTACTTAAAAAAAAGTGGAACAAATGTAATAAAGTATTAAAACAAATATGTGGTGTAATTTCTCTTTACCTTAAGTGGAAGTGCTGCTGCGGGTGATCCTGGTAACTGGAAATGAATAGTATAAAATACCGACACAATGGAAATATAAACACAAATACAGTATAATGTGATCCTTTATTGACAACGTTACACCCACACAGTGGGCTTTTTCAAGTCACACACGGATCTACCTGGGGTGGAAGGTACGAGAGTATTTATAGTCAGGTTCAGAATGTTGAGGTCAGGTGGAGAATGCTGCATCTGATGATCTACCGGGTGGGGTTATAGAGTCTTGGGTAGCTTGGCAGGGGTATTGGACAAGACAACAGAACACCCTGTGAGGCAGCTTCTGAAGGAACCTGGAGTTACTCTTCCCTTCTAAGAACTGTATAACCTCTATGGGTTTAGCTCTTACATCCCCCCCCCCTCCCTCCATGAAGGTAATCGATATTTCAATTTGCATATATCCACCACGCAATACAATATTAAACTTCGCATTCAATACGTATTTATTTTATTATTTGGAGATGATACATCGTTGTATAAAAGAAATAGTGGTTGAGTGTATATGCCAAAATCTCCTTGTATGTATTATTATTATTATTATTATAATCAAAGGTCCCCTCAAGGAAGGTTCCTTGATGTTGGTGAGGGGCTCTTGATTTAGGGAATTGGATCTGTGCTCCAGTTACACGAATTAAGCCTGAATGCCTTCCTCATCCCCCCCCCTAGGCGCTGTATAATCCTCCGGGTTTAGCGCTTCTCCCTTGATTATAATAATAATAATAATATAATCAAAGGGGAAGCGCTAAACCCGGAGGATTATACAGCGCCTGGGGGGGGGATGTGGAAGGCATTCAGGCTTAATTCGGGGAACTGGAGCACAGATCCAATTCCCTAAATCAAGAGCCCTCACCAACATCAAGGACCCTTGTATGCTGAGTATTATGGGCAGGATTAAAATTAATTCCCCTCATGGAAGGTTCCTTGATGTTGGTGAGGGGCTCTTGATTTAGGGAATTGGATCTGTGCTCCAGTTCCCCGAATTAAGCCTGAATGCCTTCCACATTCCCCCCACCCAGGCGCTGTATAATCCTCCGGGTTTAGCGCTTCCCCTTGATTATAATAATTAAAATTAATTAAGCGATGATATAATCAGTGGTAAAAATTATTGTAAATGAATTACAACAGGAAGTACAAATGAGTATTTCAGATAAGAGGCTACATAGTTGTAATAGGTTTGGTGAGTTACTCGGCAATCAAGAGAATGGAGCATTCTATTAGGTAATGTAATTACAAAAAAAAAGTTTGGAACAATGCTGGAACAAGTGTTGAAGCCTTCAAGAGGAAACTAGACATGTATCTTCACCAGGTGCCAGATCAACCAGGCTGTGATGGATATGTGGGGCAGCAGCAACAGCCTGGTTGACCAGGCAAGCACGGCCAGGCTCAGAGTAGATATACTCTCGAAATTCTTCAAAGGTAAAGGCAAGAGTCACAGGTTATACATTTGAGATACAGTTAATCAGTATTTATTTAGTTGTGGGTAAGAAGTCTTGAATTGATAAACAGTGTTTCCTTTATATTCACAAGTAATGAATTCCAGATTTTTGGGCATTGCATTGTTACATAGCGTAAGATGGACATGAGGAACATCAAAGAGTGATCCGTGTCTTGTGTTGTGGTTATTTATTCTGTTGAGGTTGATAAGGAGAAGGTTTATATCTGAGTTAAGTGTTCTATGTATGTAGTAGGTACAATAATAAGTACGGATATTTTGTACAGTAAGTTTAGAATATTGGTGGAGTATGCTGCCTGTAGTGGGAATTTACCATTTTGACTGCAGGCTTTTGTTGGGTAATTAATGGTCTGAGATGGTTTATTGTTGAGCCCCATGCACAAATTCCACAGGTGAGATGGGAGTAAATGAGTGAGTGATATAGGGCCAGGAGGGTGACTGTGGCACATAGTACCGCTTCTTCGATAGTATGCCAACGGTCTTGGAAATGTGTTTGAAATTTGAGTCTATTATCAGGGTGGATTCCTAAAAATTTTCCCTCTGTGATAGGTGATCCGTTTATAGTTATTTTAAGAGGGACATCTGTGGTTGTTTACAAACTGTATGAAGTAGGTTTTGTCAATATTGAGAGTAAGTTTGTTAATCATCATCCAGGTAGATATTTTCTGTAATTCGGTATTTACAGTATTGGCTAGCATGACTGGGCTTGGGTGAGAGAAAATGTATGTAGTGTCATCTGCAAATAGTGTGGGTTTGAGTAGTTGCAATGCATTTGGTAGGTCGTTTATGTAAATGAGAAAGAGAAGAGGGCCAAAGACACTTCCCTGTTTGACACCAACTGTAATTGGTAGTGTGGAAGAGTTTGCTTCATTTGTGTGCATATATTGGCTTCTGTTGCTAAGGTATGAATTTAGGTAGTGCCCTCTTATACCAGTGAGACAATTTTGTGCAACAAATCATGGTCAACTGTATCAAAAGCTTTACGGAAATCAATGAAGATCCCCAATGGGACTTTTTTTTCTAAAGTGCAGTGTATAATAGCATCATTCGTATTTTTATTAGGCCTGAATTCAAACTGACGGGTTGAGTATGTTGTGGGAGATAAGGTAGGAATAGATTTGCTTAAGAATTAATTTTTCAAAGATTTTAGAGAGGGTGTAAGTTTGATATTGGCCTAACCCTTGCTATTTTGAGAACTGTGGAGGACTCAAAGGATTTGTTAGTGTTGCAATGATTGGTGACAGCACTTGCGAAGCTTTTTTTTTGTATATAAAGGGTGGTAAGGTATTTAAATCTCCTGTCTTGTTTATTAGTGTGTTGATAATAAGGGAGACTTCTGTTGGGTTAGTCGGAGCTAGAAAGCGTTCGGGTAGTTGCCAGTGAGGTGGTCATTGGGTAGGGTATTTGAGTTTGGGATTTTATCGGCAAGGTTTTTTCCTATGGTGAAGAAAACATTGAGTCTGCTGTTTGTTGGGATTTATCTGGTTTTGTTAGTTTGATTGCTCTGTTTCCTGATATCTTTTGTTCCTAGAATTTCAGATAGGGTTTTCCACGTCTTTTTTTTATATCACCTTTTAAATTGGATAATCTGTTCTCATAATACAATTTTTTTTGCCCTTCTTATCAGGCTGGTTAGGAGTGATGAGTAACATTTTGTTTGGTCCCTGGTTATGTGACCCATTCTATACTTTTTTTGTATAGGTTCTTTATATTTATAGATGCTAGGACTGTTTAGTCAATTAGCTGTGATCTCTCTGGGTTTTTTTAGGGCAGTGCTTGTTATAGAGGTATTGGGTCTTTTTTAAAAAATTAATACATTCGTCAGTATCTGTATAGGTTTCTAGCTCAGCCAGTCGATGTTTGTTACTGCTGTTGTGAAGTTATTAATGGCTGCCTCATTATGAAGTGTGAAGGTTAATTTAATATTGTCTTGGGGTAATTTACCTAGATTGGTTATGAGAAAGGTAGGGTAGTGGTCTGTGAGAAACACTTCAAGCTAATTAATGTTGAGCTTGGAAAAAGTGATCACAAATTGACTTTAATATATCATATAATTACCAAATAACTGTAATTAAGTCTGTCCCTGACTTCCACTTGGCCGATTTCATAGGACTGAGAAATTACTTGGGTGGGTTGAACTGGCTATGGGTTAGGTAGTTGGCGAGTGCCGATATGGCGTTTTTCAGAGCATAGTTCTAGCTGCACAAAAAACTTATGTTCAA